CTAATCTGACGCTTCTTTTGACATTGGCCCCAGCATCAGTTATCATTTGTATTATTTTGTCCTCTTCAATACTATCAATCTTAGATAATATTGTTTCCCCAGTATGCTTTTGAGTCACATTTCTAGTTTCTAGGGTAAAATATTTTAAATCAAAATTTTCATCTAAATGATGAAGACTAAATGTAATATAATTTCGACGCTTGAAATGATCGGTCCATAAATCAAAAGTGATAGAACAAAATTGGTCCAGAATCAATCAAATTTAAAACATGCGCCTTTATAGATAAATAAACATTGTCTAGTGCACCCCGACTAATGGTTGTCCTATTTGGCAATTCTGACGAGGAATCAATTATCTTATATTTCTAATTTTTGAACAATTTATTTTTTAATAATCATTTTATATAATATTTAAACCTTTAGAAAGTCTGTCATTCCTTTATTGTTTATAGAATCAAATGGCATTAAATCTAAGCAGCACATCAAAACATAATTTCGCCCTATTAGATTTCATATTTATTTTAAACATTAAAAAGATATTTAAAAATATCAAAATAATTAGGGCAAGAATGAAACAAATTATAAATTAGATATAGTTTTAACTTTCAAAATAAAGCTTTACATAATAATTTAATATATAAATATAATTAATATGCTTTCTAAAAATTACACACGCCGCACCGCCGCCATAATTAAAATCGGCGGCGGGCCGGCTCGCGCCGCTGATCTCAATCGGCGGCTTTTCCGGCGTGAATAAAAATACCGGCGGCGCACAGGTCTATAATGAACCTCCATAAACTTAAGACCTTTATAGTCTATATTACACTATGAATTGGTAAGGAATTAATATTCTTATTAAAATTTCTAATGGTATTGGAGAATCTTCGTAAATTAAGATTATAACATGACGTTAGTTAACAATGTATTGATTCAAGAAATATATTTTTCATATTGGCTCCATAAAAAAGAAAATAGCTCGTTAGCCCTAAATTTTAATATGTTGTAAGAAGAAATAACGTGTCCCTCTCAAAAGATTTTAAAAAGGAAGAAAATAAAACTTAATAAAATTTTTACATCTAAGATAAAAGACGACAGACACACTCTCCCATGAATATAGTGTTAAATGGAGCCAAGTCAACATAATAGCAATTTGCTAAATAATGGCCAATTTTTTATTAAAATGAAATAAGCCCCATTAATATATATTAACAGATTGAATCATCCAGTCGTCTCCGTTCTATTATATATCACAATGCCCCGTCAGGACGGTGCGAAGACTTTTGAAGGCCCGGAGCGGAAATGAATTTGGCGGCCTATAAAAAATTTCAATTCATCTAAGATTTAAAAAATAGTAAAAATAAGGAACTATATTAAAATTTTTAAAATGGGATTTTTGAATAAGCAACTTAGAATATAAAGTAATATAATTATTTATACACTTCATATAATCCCCTTGTTAGCTTAAAAAAAACAATCGTTCCCGAATTTGAGGAACTATGTGTTAAGTGATATACCCGACTAGGCCACAGAAGCTTCTCAAAACTTTTTTTTATATGTCGTAATTTTTAAAGGGATCATGACTATCCGGGATCTTCACGGGATTTAAAGGGATAACTAAAAAATTAGGGTTGATAATTAAGGAATGATAATACGGGATTATCACGTTTTAATCGTGATAAAGAGGAATCTTATTTTAAAAGCGTTTTCCACGAGTTTCGTTGCGTTTTTAATTTTCAATTTTGTTTTTTTTGGCCTTATGTATAAGATATGTCTAGTATAGGGTATCATTCGATAGCTAATCAAAAGATTTATTCAACTGGAGGTCAATCTCTGCCCCAGTGATAATACCGTATAGTTCTTTATCCTTTAAAAAATTGAAATTTTAAAGGGATCTCTTTAAATCCCGTGAAGATCCCGGATAGTCATGATCCCTTTAAAAATTACGACATATATATATTATAACCTTATTATTTATACTCTTCATATAATCACTTGTTAGCTCAGAAAAAAAACAATCGTTCCCGAATTTGAGAACTATGTGTTAAGTGATATACCCGACTAGGCCACAGAAGCTTCCCAAACTTATTTTGTATATTATAACCATATTTGGCAATGGCGATCCAAACAAAAATAAATGTTGAACAGATTTGGCACTGTCTAACATAGCCTTTAATATCATATAATTTTTATTTTTATTAAAAAAAAATGTTTTAAAAAAAATTTATGATTGAAAAATTATTTTGGCAAATACTTTAAAAAAATAAATAAATAAGACATATGATATAATGGGTTCCAAAACTAATAGAATTGTTTTTACTAGAATATTATATATTATATTTATAAAAATGAACCGTCGAATAGGAATTTATGACAAATCAGCTGATTTTAAATGATTAAAATTTATTTGCGATATCTTTGCGAACACCCCTCCATTACCTCTAATTTCCAAAGAATCAAATTTGGTGAAAATAGTGATGGGGAAGGGGAGGGGGACTGGTAATAAAATAAGGGTAGTTGGATCGCGCGGGGAAAAATATCTATTATAGTTTATTTATATAGAGTTGGAAATTTTTGGTACGAAATAATTTAAGCGAGCTGCCCACTAGTGGACAGTGCTAATGAGAAAAATATTTGCCAAGCTTTATATATTTGTTAATTCTTTTTGGCCTCTTCTATTCTAAGGTAAGTAAGTTGCTATTGATTAAGAAGAACGAAGAGCAAGTTTATAGTTGAGATTTATCCAAATCCCAAGGAATATTTATCAAGGTGTCAGGTTTTAACCGATCTCCACTTGATAGGTTGCAAGGTTTTATAAATCTTAAGAATAGGATTCTTTTAAATAGTTTATCGATTGAAATGTGGCGTTGCTGCCGACTTTGGCTTTTGATATAATTAAGTCAATGCATTCCTTTAATGTTAACTTGCAGGCCACGCAATTGCGGGATTGAACAAGATAGCAGCCAGGTTTGTAATGTTGTTTTACTCTTACTTCATTGGTTATTGGTTAAGAGATTCCCAAAGTTTTCGCTAGGTAAGGACTTCAATCCTTCGTGACTTCAGAAATTGAATGTGCTTGAGAGATAAAGAAGAAGATAAATTGGAAAAAGGAATTTATTATTTAAGAAAAATTTGCGCCCACTGCAAAGAAAACCCGTTTTGAGGGAAAATGATAATTTTATTTTCTTCCCAATTCCTTTTTAGAAAAAGCGATATCGATTGAAATTATCAGCGGATGCAGATATGAATCGATTTAGATATTCATGCCAATGACTTATAATACCTTTAATAACGATTCGTTCATTAAAATGCATTTAGAAGCGTCGTTGAATGGAAATTAGGGGATGACACGCCTTGGTTTCCCTTATAAAAATATTTCTTATCTTTTAAATGTTTACATAAAATTTTATGTAAATTGTGTATATGGGAAATCAAAATGATGTGTCATTAGGTGATTTGTAATGAAACACATTTACATGAATGAATCTTCAGTCTAATTAATATAATTTCTCTTTATCCGTGCACACCCGTTAAAAATAAATTTGAAATATATTTTATAAAAAAATAGACTGATTGTGTGCCCATACCCTCACCTGGTGCCGCGGGCAATTTATAAATAAATAAAAGGGAAGGATTTTGTTTTAATCTTTTGCACCTAGCAGTTACAATCTCATGGCTCAAAATAAATATTCAAAATTATTTTTTAAAATTATTTTATGACCTTTTTTTTTTAGCTAACATGGTATAAAAAATTTCATATTTTTCGGCCCCTCCCCTAATAACCCTACTGGCATCTAATTATCTTATTTTATTTCTTTTTAAATCATTTTAGATTAATCATTTTATAGCCCTAAAATAATATGAAAAAAATTCTTTTTCTCAAATCATGTTAAAAATTGATTACAATTTTGTTTTATGAATTTTTTAAAAATAACATTATATTTTTTTTAAAACAGCTTTATAGTCTATTACAGAGTTTGAAAAAAAAACCCACAAAATTTAAAATTTTTAAGAAAAAAATTTATTTCATCATGACATGATTATTTTGCATAAAAATTATAAATGATTTCTTATAACAAAAAATAATGTGGGATTTTAGGTAAAATTTGATCAAAACTTCAGAGATCAAGATCTTTGAGGATTTTTTATTTAGAAGAGCATTTCAAACTCTGGTTTATTATTAAAATTTTGTAATAATTTTGGGTGTATAATGTCTCCAATATTTATAAATTGATTTTGAAATATAATAAATATATATTTTATTTCTTATACAGGCACATATTAAAGGGTAGGAAAGTGGGGATTTCTTTCCCCATTAGAAATTTGCTTGTTCATGTAATTTTATGCTAATAAAAATGTTTCCTATACATCTGTCCCCACCTAAAAAATATAGATATATAATATATTGCTATAAACTGTAATTTGAAAGAAAAATAAGCAAAAGTTAATAAATAAAAGTGGAAAACCAAATTTTTTATTAAATAATAACATAGCAAAATATCTGCAATAAAATGATGGTGGAAAACCCAGTTAATAGTGCCCCCCATAGGAAAATTCTAGATAAGCTTGCCTCCTTTCTTTAATGAGCCATTTATCCTCATCCTAAGTATATGTATTTATGTGCTCTATTATGTCAAAAACAGCATTTACATTACCTTATATCTCTAAAGCTGAATTTTCTTACCTTAGTTTTCATAAATAAGTAATAATAAATTAATGAACAGTTAATATTTAATAGTGGTTGACACAACCCAGCCTGGAAGATAAGATTTTCAGGCCAAGCCAGACAATCTTTCAGGCTGGGAATTGTTTTATAGGTTGGTCTGGATAAAAAAAGGAGCAGGGCAAAAAATACTAAAAATATTTTTAATGTACATCACTCCTTGCAAAAAGTAAGGTTTAAAAATTTGGACTTACCTATATTTGGTAAAGTTTTTAATATATTATGCTTCTAAATTCATTAATAATTTAAAATCTGTTTAAATTCTCTATTACTATTTTACCTCCATGCTTTTGAACTCTAGTCCTATTTCATCAGCTTGAGACTTGAGAAATTTCATGATAGATGCTTATTTAATATAAATATGATAGATGCTGATTTAATATAAATATGATAGATGTTTATTTAATATAAATTATAATTCACAATAATGAATGAGACATATATAACAATGTGTAATTTAACATTACAAATTTTCAAAAACAATCAAGCCAGATTCCAGTGTTAAACTACCTTTTGATTAATCAGGATCCATGTCTTAATTTGATTTATATATCAAATTGCTTAAAGAAATTATGGTAGGAATAAATTTATATCCGGTATACTTTAAAATTCAACAATTTAGGGTTAAATGTATTAATTTTATACCAGTAGAAAAATTTTAAAGCAATTCTAGAGAATTGTTTGAAACAATACAAATGCAGGAAGAAGCATATTAAAAGTGCATTATAAATTTTTTTTAGTTATATTAATTTTTTATAAGTAAAATATCTTCAATAATTTTAAAATGAGATATGCAGAATAGAGAATAAGATGAGATTACTAAAAATATTAAACTACTGAATATATTATGGCATTGACAATATTTTAACTAACCTATAATATATTACAATTACAAATATAGTTTTACAAAAAGAATAAATTATTTACGATAATCAGGATCCGGTTGCATTGATTTAATTCTAAGATACTGACAAAATCTAACAATGGACTGATCATTTGAATCATTATTTTTTATTTTCTTCATTTATTTAAAAATCTAGTTCTAAAAATTTAAAAAATATTTCAAATTATTGTCAGCTGATTAAGTCCGCACTTTAAAGTGTACGCTTTTGTGTTGTAAAAATCATAGGACTTAGCTTCATTTTTCTCATGCCGATAATATTGGGTAAAATTTTAAGGGGTTAAATTTAGATCAAAAAAATTATTCGCTAATTTTTGAAAGGCTGTATTTCCTGTGCCTACATGGAGACTATCTCCATGCTTAAATACTCACTGCAATGATATATATAACTATACATTGACGATCATGCATAAAAAAACGTCCACCTATTGAAATCAGCTGTAGCGCCATTTTGTAGCTTGTACGTTGATCAAATGCCTCAATAATAATAATAAATTTTAAAAATTTAACAATTTTATATCTAATAATTTGTTAATAGAAAATAAACTAATTGGGAAAATTATTTTTTCAAAAATGGATGTCGAAGCTTTTTCAAATCGGGCAATTTGATAGTCGTAAACATTACAAGTAGAGAAGAGCAAATAATAATATATATGGGAATGATATGATCTTTACAAATGGATGTGTCTGGAAAATAGTATTACTTAATGTATAGATAGAATTTTCTGTTTTTTAGGATTGATGGATTGATATTAAATACCAAATGATTATGAAAGGGGATATTAACAGGAGACAATGTAATGTTCAGTCCAACTCTTTTGAATATGATGGAACAAGAGTCAGGTTATCAAACTTTTTTTCTTGATGTCTCAGGTTAGTATTTACTTATTTCTTATAATTACTTATTTCTTCAATATACTTTATTCATTTTTCATATTTATGTTTATTTACTTATTTCTTATATATACTTTATTTATTTTCATATTTATGCTTATTTACTTATTTCTTGTATATACTTTATTTATTTTCAGATTTATGCTTTATTTTCATGTATATTTTTTCCTGTATATACCTCTTACATATATATACCTATGCTTTATCCATTTATGTATATTATTTTTATATCTCATGTATATATTTCTCATATTTATGATGGGAAGGAATTAAATTAACTTAGGATTAATACAATAATTAGCTTTTGTGTCAGTAGATTAAACTTTATACTAGTAATTACATTATTTACATAGCATTGAGACAAGTTTTGTCTACATCCCCTTATACTTAAACAATTTAAAACTTTAACCTTAACAATAATCATAGCAATAACATAAAACATGTTAGTAGTTTTAAACTCTACATCCCCTTATACTTAAACGATTTGAAACTTTAACCTTAACATATAATCATAGCAATAATATAAAACATGTTAGTAGATTTAAACTTTTATACTAATTATTTATAATTGTTTTGAGACAAGTTTTGTCTACATCCCCTTATACTTAAACACTTTGAAACCTTCAATCTTAACATATAATCATAGCAACAATATAAAACACAAATTTAGGATCAGTTTACCATGCACCTGACTAATTTCTAGTCTTTCCTTAGGCAATAAACCCTTAAACATAAATTTACTTCCCTGGTCAACCTTCATAAAATCTTGAATTTTTATAAATCTCCTTTTACTAAGGTTATTTTCTTATTGACTATTAAATATTTTTTATCCCCCTTATCCTTTAATACTTTTCTATAATTTATCGTCCATCTTTTAATAATTTGTTTCTTACCCCTTGGATAACTTATTATTCTTCCACTTCCATTTGAAATTTTTCCCTCCCTTTTTATGACTTATTTTTACTTTTTATTTTATTTATTTCTAGTTTCTCATATGGTTTTTGTTTTTCCCTTTCAAAATAAACTTTTTACATTTTACGCCCTCCATCTTTTAATAATTTTTGTTTTACCCCTTCTTGCATAACTTTTATTCTTTTCGTCACCATTTTAGATTTTTCCCTCCCTTTATTATTTATAGTTATTTATTTATTTTTCCCCTTTATTTTTTATTTTTGTCTCCTTCTAGTTTCCCATATGGGTTTAGCTTTTCCTTTAAAATAAATATGTAAATTTGTAAACAATTTTAAATAATACGAAATAGTATTTAATTGTTTTTTGGAAAATAAATTAGTATTGTTAAGATTTATAAACATGTATATCTCTCATGTTTCTAATTATTTTCATTGTGTTTTATTATAAACAAACTAAAAAATCATTAAAAAAAAACTTTAATAATTTTCTGCAAAAATTTTATTTCGCTAATTTTACTGTTATAATAATTTTTGCCTTATCTTGTTGCTTACCCAATTGAGTCGGATCCAAACTTACACATCGAAACAGGTTAATTTCTTTTTACTACTTTACTTCCCTTAATATAATTCCTTCGTATTTTCTTCCCCTGTTTTTGGCCCTATTAATTTTTTTTCTAGTTTATCTTAGAATCCATTATAATTGGTATCAAGTTCTATTATGACGTTTCCCTATGACCTTTTATTAGTTCTTATGTGACGTTTCCAAAGGACTACACCCTTTATTGATGACTTTTTACAAGGTGACCCAATTTTTCTCTAAGCTTGAATGTAGCTACACTATTTGCTCCTCGACAAATTTCTTTTATCCCCTACAAAATATTTACTTGTACTCTAGTGTATACATTAAAATAGAGGTTTCGTAATCACGTTAGAAGAGGCAGCCTGAATCTGGGTCAAAAATTTTTTTTTACTTAGCTAGGTAATGGCATTTAATGTACTTCCGTTCGTATTTTTTTCTACCCCTTTCTGCCCCTCTCAAATTTTTCTTTAATGCCTGTCTTTTCTTCTGAATTTATTGATCTTCAATCTGTTATGATTTCTATATAGTTCCATGTACTTTACTCTCTGCATTGGTGCCTCTATATGTGATCCAATTTCACAGCTATCCTATCAGCTCCTCGATTTTCTATCCCCTAAAAGACAAACTCTGCTCGGTCTAACGTATACCTTTGAATAGAGGGCAATATAATATTACTTTTGCCACATTACTATAAAAGGCCTCTATCTTCTCAAATCTGCATTTTGTAAAAGTTTTACTTTTATTTTTCCCTTCAAATTTTAAATCTTTTTCTACTAATATGTTTATGTCAATTCGATCTTTTTCAAAGAGCAGTAATTGTATAATCTTGGGCGACTTTAACCTTAGGATTGGGAAGGAGGAGTCCTACCTTTAAATATTATTTGACAGTATTTTGGGAAGTTTCTCTTATTATAAAACTTAAACTATTTATGAAATGTTATATACCTTCAAACTACAGTTTTACAGGATTTCTCATTTATTACTTTAAATAGGTAGTTGTTTAGGTTGTTAATAATATATTTCAGTCTTTCTAATCTTAGTTTCTCCGTATTGTATAATAAAAAATAAACTTACAAATTAAATAATTTCTTTTTAATTCTTCTAAGGTATTTAATATGAACAAACTACAGTTATACAAGATTTTTCATTTATTACTTTAAATGGGTAGTTGTTTAGGTTGATAATATATTTCAGTCATTTTAATCTTAGCTTCTCCGTATTGTATATTAAAAATTAACTTACAAAAATGGATGACATCAATTATACTAAACTTCCCTAAAAATAAGTCCCCAAACTGCCTTAAAGATTACAGAGGTATTGCACTAATTCCAGTCACACTAAAAATGTTCACATACATCATATCAGTCAGGATTAAACCAATCATTAACAGATTCCTTTCTAATGCTATCACATCATACAGGAAGGGCAGAAATACTACGGAGTTGACCATGGCACTTAAGGTCATTCTGGAAAAGGCCAGAATGCATAAATCCCCCATCTTTGCCCTGATGATTGATTTAAGTCAAGCCTTTGACTCCATAATTCAGAATAAGATATGGCCCTTGCTGGAAAACATTGGAATAGATAAACATCTGATAGCGCTAATTAAGATAATTTACGACAATCATAGCGTAGTTCCTCAGCATTTAAATATGAAGTCGCAACCTTTTATGGCAAATAGAGGCCTCAAACAAGGATGCATCCTTTCACCGATTATTTTTAATGTAATAATGAATGCTATCCTAAATAAATCCTTTAAACAGGAATATGCACTCAACACATATTACAGTGAGCAACAACACCTCAATAGTATGCACAACTCTTTAAACTTTCTATGTTATGCTGACGACGTATGTATTCTAGCCAACTCAGAATACAAATTAAGAAATATTTTATCATTATTTGTCAACAACTGTGATGGATATGGTCTAAGAGTAAACTACACAAAAACCAAACTAATCACCTCAAATACTGATGCGAGTCACTTAAACCCCTTTAACTTTGAGGGTAATACGATAGAATTAGTGTCAGATTTTAAATACATAGGAACCAGGATAACGTCATTAGGCCTCACCTTTTTAGATACGAAATCGAGAACGAATAATGCTAGACTCCGCTATCATCAACTGTCGAAATTATGGTCATCCAACCAAATATCAACTAATTTAAAAATAAGACTCTTCAAGTCCCTTATTGTACCCATTTTTACCTACGGCCTTGAGACTTGGCAAGACTCAAAAAGTAACATCAGCACAATTCAGACTTTTATAAACAAATGCCTTAGAAGAATCACCAAAACGTATTACACATACAACACATCAAATACAACGCTCTGGAATAGATGCGACATCCTACCAATCAATCGTCTCATACCCATGAGGAGACTAGAATTACTAGGCCATAGCTTAAGACACTCGCAGGAAAATATGATATTCTCGTCCTTGAAATGGTGCCCTGACGGTAGGAGGAAAACCCCTAAATACTATTGGTTGGCAAAATGTCTGAAAGATATGGACCTGATTAACCTCTCGTTTGCAGATTTCATGGCACTTAGCAAAAACAAGAAACACCTAAAGGAACATTTACAATACATGCTAAAATATGGCCTAAATTAATATCGCAACCGTTCTTCACCTTTACGTTCTTGCAATAAATGGAATAAGTGTATTTGATAATGATAATAACCTGAACAACAACAACATAACTTAACTTCCTTTAATAACCCACGACCTTCCTTTCTGGACACACGATATCGGCGACGATAACGATAACAATTACGAAAATATTAGCTGTATAACAGGCAATGAGAACTGGCTATAATAATAACGCAATATATCGGACGAACCCAAATACCATTGGCACAGAACATATAAGATCTACAGGACATACAATATTTTGGCACACCGAACAACAAACAAGGAAGAGACTCTTCATGCAAACTTAACATAAACTCTCAATACTTAACAAGATATAAGGGTTATTTTTTTGTTGCCTCACTAAATACCACTTAAAGACGCAGGTACATTTTTTTATATGACATTATTTTTATTTTTTCCTTAACACTATTCTGCCGGAAACGGAACTAATACATAACCATTATTGTACTTCTTCCTTCTTCACTTTGCTAACAGGCTACATAATGGTACCGTCCACTATAATAAAACGGGTAGACATCATGTATGGGATCTATATACTAGTGAAAATACATGATGCACGCTTCAACTCCTGGTGGGTGATGAAATGGCGTGGTAATGAATGAATGAATTTGTTAATAATGTAATTATGTAAAATAATTAAATGAATCCTAACCTCAACTGATCTTCAATTAAATTACATTGGTATTCTTTAAAATAAAAAAACTCAACATTTAATACAATAATAGTACATAATATCATTAAATTACTTTCACCCAGAAATTATTCAGAAACATAGATTGCTACAATATCACTGAAGCAAAAATCACCAAAATTATACCCATACAAAATATTCCATACTTATATCTAATACACCCTCAAATATTCAATCAAATAAGGTCCACTGCCTATATATAATTACCAAAAAAACTTATCACACAGATTCCTTTGACTCAATCAAGAAAATACTTCTTTCAATCATAGTTTTAAGTTAATTTATCTACTTGATTAATATTATTATAAAAATAAATTTATTTTTAAACATTCCTCAACCATTTAACCCCCAATCATTTATTAGAAAGTCTAATTTATTTTATACATATTAATTGCAAATATCAAAATCATTTATTTTTTTATATATATTTGTTAATTTTTCTAATAAAATTAGTTTTTATAGCTTATCAAATTCACTTGATGTTTCAAAAAAAATCTTACTATCCACTTATTGTTCATTTATGGAATCCTTATTATTAAATATAATAATATTTTATGATTCATATATTATTAATAAATAAAAAGATGCACCGATATTTATTGTAGTTGCTGGTAATTTTAATTTTAGGTAAGTAATTTATACCTTAAAATAATAATCAAAATTTATATAAAAGATCTGTATAGATATAATTAAATAAAATCTACAAATTTTGTTTTACTAATAAGAGAAATCAATGTTAATTTTTTTCATACTTTTTTAACTTATTTTTATTTTGTATTTATTAATTTTATTATAAAGGATGAACCAAAGATATACTCTAAAAGTAGATGAAGATCAATTAATTACGTTAAGAAAATAAGATTTTATAAAAAAATATCCTGTCAATTAAAAATTTTTTTGGATTATGTGTTCTAGATGAAATAAGTTAAACCATCTTAAAAGATGGGTTGAGAGCTCATCTCACTTAATTTTTATTGTAATAATCATTTATAATTTTTTTTGTTTTAATTATTTCATCTTAATTATAAATGACAAATGAAAACATCTTTTATTTTTTTTTCAATAAAAACATAGTGTAATAATAACATTTTTTGCATGAGTATAAATTATTATATAAATCATTTAAATAAGGTTTATACAAAATATATAAAAATATAAATGTGTACACTTTAAAAAACAAAATGTATTTTTAATAATGTGATGATTCACATTCATATTATCTTTGATTATAAACATTCATTCTTTTTGATCCTATCATCACCTATAAAAAATAAAATATATTTACATTAGCATAGATTATATATAATATCATAATTTTTATAATATGTCTTATATCAGGCCTGTTCTTTATACAATATAATTTTTAAAAAATAAAAGAAGATATAAATATTAATTTACATGACTTAATGATTATTAAATTGTATTGCTTTTGTAAGATTTTGCCTCATACCAGTTCTCAATTCCTGGTTTCTCAAGTCAGCAAAATGAAAAAATCTAATATTTAAATATCTTTAAAAAAAATAGTATTAAAACTAATAAATGATTACCTTTGAACAATTAATTTTACAAGAATTTGAAAATGGCTGTAACCAATCTCATCATTAATATGTTCAGTAAGATCAATAAAAATATTTGTACCAATTATTGTGGAAAAAACCAACACTTCCATTTTTTTAATAATATTTTTACGTTTAATATCATTTTGATAAGTTCTAAATGAACTTTCACAAACAATATATGAATCACTGACCATTGCATTAATGCAAACATCACATCGTACCTTTTTTTCTTTAATAAGTTGTATCCCGAAATATAAGTTGTTAAATTATCTAAATATAATGATAATTTCGGGATATGAGGATTTGTTTGGCTAAAATAATAAGATAATGCCTGGGGTATTATTGGATTTGAAATAGTTTTGATAGAATTAAAATCATCGTCATGATTATTTTGAAAATTTGAACATATTAATTGAGTATTATCTAAGGAAATGCAATTTCCTGTAATTGTAGTATCCAATTTCGCCATTAATGAAATGCGAACAGCAGATCGAACCTGATATGCTGATGGATTATCATTAAATCCACCTCTGCTACGAATACTACAAAAATATAATTCTAGGTGGTCTTGAGAGGTTTTATATGTTAAAAAGAACCTTAAAAAATTGTTATATTATAGTTTTATGAATAACTCTTGTTATAAATTAAATATAATACTTCATTTTTGGGGTTTCCCCAGTTAATAATTCCTTCCCCATTTCCAGGATGCTTTTCATAGAAAGAATTAACCCTTCTACACATGTTTTTTTATTAGACTTATAGACATAAATTCCATTTGTTAACTTGAGTGATTTTAAAGTTTTAATGCACTCATCAAAATGATTTTCATATTCTGCAATTGTATTATTATATAAAGGGGCTTTATATCCTTTACCAAGACAATTTCTTGTATTAAGATAATCAAACATTCTATAAGTTATTCATAAATTTATATCATAATTTTTATTTTACTGATCTATCATCAATATAAAATTAATAGTACCATCACAATTTTCAAATCCAGGAATCTCCTGATGCTGGGCAAAAAGAAGGCTATTTGAAACAGATGCACTAAAAACTTGAACAGCAAGTTTTACCTTTAAAAAATATTTAATAATTATATATTTATTATCAAACTTTCATTTTTTGTTTGTGGAAAGCAATATGTGCTTTCCGCAATTTATTTGCAGCACGTAAACCTTCGCACTCCTGCAATTTATGTAAATTTTGTATATGCTTCCAATCTATTATCTATAAATACAAAATAAATATTTAATCAAATTTAATATAGCTAGCTACCTTTCCATTTGATTCATTTATTAAAATTTCCTACTCCGCTAATAGATTTCTAAGTAATTTGAGCATATGACAAACATCTAGTAACATATATATTTTTTCCGATTCATAAAATTCCAGCTCAATATATGGAATGATATTATCAGGATTCATACCAGTGGCATAGCTAGGAATTTTTCTTAGAGGGGGTCCATACATATAAAATGCAAAATCATAACCATATCTTCGATAATATATAATAAATATATTTTTTAAATGCATCAATAATATGTTATTATAATTTAGTCGATTATTCTCAATGACTTTATAATACTATCCAGAATAATTTCAATAGTAATATAATATCCTTCCACAAACATCAAAACCAGAAAAATATAAATATTAATGGTATTAGTCACTTTTAAGTCTTTAGAACGTAAAATCTAAAAAAAAAATTTTGCTCTGGGAGGGGTCCAAACCTGAAAACCACCCCCGTAGCTACGCCACTGATCCATACTAACACCAAGCAGTTTGCTCATTTTTTTATTAACAGCACAACCATCACATACTATGGCCTTACAGATAACTCCTGTTTCATTTAGATTGAACAATGCAACTCTCACTAAATAGCTAGGATATCTGAATTCATTTGTGAAACTAGAAAATAGGCTATTGGCATTTACCAGCTGCTATTAAGACAGGTAGCCATAAAAAACAGTGCCTTCGTTGCTTCTGGACAAGATTTATCTTTTGTTGATTTTGTCAAGTACACAATACAACTGCTTTTCTGATTTTTTTTGGTAGCTTTTAATTTAAGTAAATGAAATTGAAAGGAAACCTTTATTTAATTTAATTTTTTAAAATTATTATAATAAACCTGGCATGATTTCAATCTTGCGACTCCATGCCCTTAATGTGGATTCCGGAGGCATACAAAAGTGTGATTTGAGATATCTGTAAGCCTTAGGTGAATAAAAATGCATAGTCAATGCAAATTGACGGAATTCACTTGTATATATTTTTTTGTGGGTTTGAGATGCCTCCACTGTGTATATGTGTTTTAAGGAATATAGAAGATGTCCCTGTAAATTGCCTGTCTATAATATTTTCGACATCATCTGATAACAAATTTTCATCTTTTAGTGAAGTGATTATTGTTTGTAAATTGATTATTTTATCTTTTCCTCTTTTTGAGCTCCTATAATAAGCATGTGCCCTTTTTTAAGCGTTTAATTATAGCCTCTTGGTAAATAATTTTTCTTTTTAATGTTTCATATGTCGCGGAATAATTATGATCATTTATTATATGTATAATTGGATCATTTTCATATAATATATCACTTTTTAATGGTGTTTGTATGTTATTTGAATAAACATTCGTTTTCTAAAAAGTATACTGTTATGTTCTATCCCCCCCCCCCTTATTTCTTTTATTTTTGTTTCTCCTTGTTTCTTTTGTTTTCCCATCTTCTTTTATTTTGTTATGAATTTAATATATTATACCTTATTTTTATATTGCATTTGAAACTGGTTCTTACCAGTTTCATGAATGATTATATCGCGATTAAATAACAACTTTTTCTTTCCCCCTTTGTTTTAAAAATTATAAAGGTGGAAAACAAAACACCATTAATCATAAAATATTTTTTTTTTGTAATAGAATTTCTTTTTTTTAATTGTTATTTCTCTGATTCGAATAAACTTTATAACTTACGTTGTCCAAGTGATTCCATGACTAAATCGATAAAACCCGGCCCCCTGGATCCAGTCATTGACCATCCCGGACCCCCGATCACGGACTGTATTATTCCCCTTCAGACTGGGGGACCCATCGGTCCAAACTAAACACTGGCGCCCAACGTACATTCGATAATCTACGACCCGGAAGAACCAACAGATCATTACCTAGAACGTTTTATGCTTATCCACCGACATCAACCGGAGGCAAATTTACTATCCTTATTCTTATCATCATGCGGTCACGGCCTATATTCAAAATTAAAGTTAGCCTTTGCACCAAGGCCTATGTTGGAAATGTCAATAGAGGACGTAAAAACTATTTTGGGAAACAACAATAACAACAGAGGTCTAGCAATCAACAAGCTTTATCAACGCATCCTGCAAGATGGCGAAATAATTACTGAATATGCGGAAGCTTTGATAGCTTTGGCCTCTCAGTGCGATCTAGGCCCCAGCTGGGACCTTTTCCTGTCCTCCCAATTCGGAGCGGGGATACAATCCTCCGGAATAAGAGGTCACGTAATAACGTCCGATAATATGACGTTTAAAGGAAAGTTAAAAATTGCGCAAACCTGGGAAATGGCCGAAGCGCTTAACCAAAATAACGCGACGAACCACGCCTACAGCAACCAAATAAACATACCCACAAAGTATACGCATGTACAAAACACCCCGCAAACATTGGAAAATTACTATCAACCCCCACGTCGAAATTTTTCACGGAATGAAAACCCAACCTGTTACAATTGCGGAAACGTGAGGCATTATAGATACAATTGCCCAATAAAACAAACTTTCAACAATTATTACTCCTCTCAGTATACTCCTCGAAATATACCTACGACTCAACCCAATTTCCCGGCAATAGCCTACCCAGCGACTAACAGAGTACTACTCGAGACTAAAAAGATAGAAAACAAGGAGTACAACACATAAACATGATGACAAATGAAGCGGATATCGACAAAAACCATTCATTCCGGGTAACGGTAAAAATAAATGGTATACCATTAGAAATTGTTATACAGGTTCAGATGTAACAATCATTAATAATCAAACGTATAATGTACTTTTCAACCTTATCCCAATGGAGGACACCAAGGTAGTTCTAAAATCATTTTCAGGACATGACATTCAACCCATAGGGCACTTCCCGGCAATAATAAGCTACCAAGACAGCACACATTCAACAAATATCCTAGTAACTAATAACTCCACCACCTCCATAGTGGGTAGAGATGTTCTAAACAAGATACCCGAGATCCTACAAGACATCACCTACAAGGATCAAGAAATTAAACAGCTTAAAAAAAATTTCCCACGAATTTTTTCGGATTCCTTAGGAAGTTTCCCAAGCAAAATAGATGTTAATCTCCTTCCCAACGCACAACCCCAGTTCGTCAAACCCCGTTCGGTACCCTATGCACTAAAGTCACAAATTGAACAAATACTTAAGGACTGGGAAAACCAAGCGATTATTAATAAATGCCGATAGAGTAAATGGGGATCTCCAGTTGTGCCCAGTCAAAAGTCGGACAATTCCATACGCCTTTGCATTGATTACAAAGTTACTAACCCATGGATCAGGCCCGAATGTTATCCTATCCCCCGAATCGAAGATATTTTTGGAACACTACAAGAAGGTACTATTTTTTCGGTCATAGATCTAAAAGAAGCATACACCCAAATACCAGTCACAAAAACTACAAGCGAACTGTTAACAATTAGCACCCATCTAGGCCTATTCAATTTTAATAGACTTCCTTTTGGTATTTCCCCCGCCCCAATGATTTTTCAACGAACGATGGACATTGTAACAGCCGGTCTAAAAAAGACCGTCACTTATTTAGACGATATTCTAGTATCAAGGAAAACTCCGGCGGAACACTGGTTCAAATTGCATCAGCTCTTCACACGATTGGATGATTTTAATTTAAGAATAAATCTAAAAAAATGCAAATTAGCGCAACCCTCAGTGGAATATTTGGGCCACATCATTAATGCAGACGGGTTAACTCCTAATCCTAGAACAACAGAATCTATCAAAAATTGTCCCGTTCCAAAAAACGTTCACGAAGTGCGATCCTTCATTGGTCTCGTTACCTATTATGCAAAATTTATACCAAACATGTCTACCATAGCTAAACCGTTATACGATCTATTACACCAAGGGGTAAAGTTCAACTGGAACCAAACCACATCTGACAGTTTCAATTCCATCAAGACCCTATTGATTTCCCCCCAAATCCTTTGCAACTACAACCTCGAAACCACCCTCACTCTATCTTGTGATGCTTCCGCTTATGGTTTAGGAGCCGTTCTATCACATCTATGGGATAACAATATCGAGAAACCTATAGCCTATGCTTCCCGAACGTTATCGAAGGCCGAAATTAACTATTCCACCGTAGAGAAGGAAGCCTTGGCCATTGTTTTTGCCGTTAAGAGATTCCGACAATTCCTGCTAGGAAGACCATTCATCATAAACACAGACCATAAGCCCCTACTAGCCATATATGGGAAAAAAATTGTGATCCCAACCATGACTTCCGCAAGATTACAACGATGGGGAGTAACATTATCGGGCTTCAATTTCAACATCCAATACAAAACAGGGCCCACAAATATGAATGCCGACGCTCTTTCCCGACTACCGCTCCCTAACATCGACCATCAAGATGAAACCGAGGTAAACCAAATTCTACAGACCCGTATTAAAGACTTACCCTTCACTAGAGATAAAATAGAATCCATAACAATGCAAGACCCAGAATTATCACAGATCAAAGAAAATATACGAAATGGCTGCCCCCCCCCTCCCAGATAACAACCACCGATAACAACCACCGAATTACAAGAATATTGGAACATAAAAGATGAATTGTCAATAGACGGGGAGATAATTGTCCGGGGAACCCGGTTAATCATTCCCAAAACCTTACGACCCGCTATCTTACAAGAGATTCATAGTGGACACCCGGGAATTGTTCGAATGAAGGAAACCGCAAGGATTTATGTCTGGTGGCCCCAATTAAATAAGGATATCACAAAAATCAGTGAAATATGCAACCGTTGTCAACTATTCAAAGAAAACTTCCCCCAGAGATTACTACACCACTGGCCCGTCGCCCGCACAGTGGGAGAACGTCGACCTCGCTGGACCCATACATCAAATACATTGGCTAATTCTAGTAGATGCCTATTCCAAATGGCCAGAAATAGCCCGCTTGAATAACACTACATCCAAGGCACTCCTAACAGCGTTAGAATGCATTTTTAATCACCTAGGCTATCCGCGAAACCTCATAACCGACAACGGACCCCAGTTTGTCAGCCACGAATTCAACCAATATTGTGAACGCCATGGAATAACCCATATCTACACCCCCCCCCCCACGTACTCCCCCCAAAGTAATGGAATAGCGGAACGATTCGTACGAACCTTTAAAAATGCTATAAGAGGATTTCCCCGCACAGAAATTCAAACCCAGCTTACCAACTTCCTAATAGCCTATAGAAACACTCCACATCCAACCACGAAGCAAACCCCAGCCATGCTATATCTAGGACGCAAGATCAGACGACCATTAGACCTCCTCCATGAAAAATCAGCATTTCACACCACACACTACCCGGTTCAGCCCGATCTAAGGAATGGGGATCTAGTATGGGTGCGAACACCCTCAAGCATTCCCAACCCACGATGGGAAAAAGGAACTATAATAGAGGTTCTAGGATCTGTCGTTTATTACGTGGAAACAGCTCAAAAAGCCCGACGATACTATCGCCGAGATATCCGACTTCGACAAGAACCCGAAAATCAAGAAGAAGAGCGTACAAACAAATTCAACAACCTACCACCCCGGTATAGCCGTATTTAAGAGGGGAGGAAAATACCGTATTCCCACAAAAACACCTTTCTTTTTTTTTTTTGATTTTATATATATTGATTATTTATTTTTTTGTGGTCTTCCACCTGTTACAAATCCCTTTTTTTTATTATTAGTCGTATTTAAATCCGCTCTGAACCAGCGGGGCGGCGAATGCCGTTTTAGTTATTTATTGACTTAAGGTAGGGTTTACCTTTGTTTTAAAATCCGCTCTAAACCAGCGGTGCGGCGAATGCCGTTTTGGTTTATTTTTGGTAGGAATTAAAAATGAAATCGGCGCCGACGGCCGGGTAGCCGTATTTAAGAGGGGAGGAGTGTTATGTTCTATACCCCCCCCCCCTTATTTCTTTTATTTTTGTTTCTTTTGTTTTCCCATCTTCTTTTATTTTGTTATGAATTTAATATATTATTCCTTATTTTTATATTGCATTTGAAACTGGTTCTTACCAGTTTCATGAATGATTATATCGCGATTAAATAACAACTTTTTCTTTCCCCCTTTGTTTTAAAAATTATAAAGG